TTAGAGTTTGGCATCAGTTTGAGCTCCAGAGGACAGCTTCCTCCTGGACAAAACTCCAGAGACCAAGTAGCTGCTATTGTCCCTTGTGAGTCCTCCCCAACACAGAGCCACAAACAGCAACACCACATCTAAGACTCGATCAACTGGGTTCACACAGGCTTACCAGCCCTGGCAATTACCTAAGGCTCTGCCACATCCAACTTACAGGTGCACTTTTCTACAGTAGGCCAACCTACTAAGACAGGTAATCAAAGAAGCTCTACCTAATACATAGAAAAAACACATGGAGGCTGCCAAAATGAAGAGACAAAGAAGTATGGCCTACATACTCCAGAAAAAGAACTAAACATAACAGAGATAAGCAATCTATCAAATGAAGAATTCAAAACACTGGTTATTAGGATGCTAAAGGTGTCATTGGATATTTCAACAGCATCAAAAAGACCCAAGCAGAAATGAAGGTTACACTAAGTGAAATAAAGAAAAAATTACAGGGAATCAACAGTGGAGTGGGAGAAGCTGAGAATGAAATCAATGTTTTGGAACATAAGGAAGCAAAAAACATTCAATCAGAATAGCAAGAAGAAAAATGAATCCAAAACCATGAGGATAGGGTAAGGAGCCCCTGGGACAACTTCCAACATACCCACACTTGAATCATAGGGATGCCAGAAGGAGAAAAGAGCAAGCAATTGAAAACTTATTTGAAAATATAATGAAAGAAATCTTCCTTAATTTGGGGAAGGAAATAGACATATAAGTCCAGGAAACACAGAGAGTCCCAAACAAGATGGACACAAAGAGGTCCACACCAAGATAACTCGTAATTAAAATGCCAAAGGTTAAAGATAAAGAGCGAGTCTTAAAAGCAGCAAGAGAAAAGCAGTTACCTACAAAGGAGTTCCCATAGACTGTCAGCTAATTTCACAAAAGAAACTTTGCAGGTTAGAAGGGACTGGCAAGAAGTATTCAAAAATCATGAAAAGCAACGACCTGCAACCAAGATTACTCTATCCAGCAAAGTAATCATTTAGAATCAAGGGCAGAAAAAGTGCTTCCCGGACAAGATAAAGCTAAAGGAGTTCATCATCACCAAGCCCTTATTATATGAAATGTTAAAGGGACTTTTTAAGAAAAAGAAGTAGATCAAAACTATGAACATTAAAATGACAACAAACTAACAGCTATCAACAACTGAATCTAAAAAACAAAAACAAACTAAGCAAACAACTAGGACAGGAACAGAATCATAGATACAGAGATCATTTGGAGGGTTATCAGTTGGGAGGGGAAAGGGAGAGAATGGGGAAAGGCACAGGGATTAAGAAGTACAAATTGGTAGGTACCGAATAGACAGAGAGATGTTAAGAACCATAGAAGAAATGTAGAAGCCAAAAACTATATGCATGACCCATAGACATGAACTAAGGTGGGGGGAAGCCAGAGAAAGTGGGGAGGTACTGGGTGGAGGGGGGCAAAGGCGGAAACTAGAGATAACTGTAAGAGCATAATCAACAAAATATATTTTAAAAAGATGCTCAACATAAGTAATCATCAGAGAAATGCAAATTAAAACCACAATGAAATATCTCCTCACATCAGTCAGAATGGCTATCATCAATGCATCAGCAAACGACAAGTGTGGGCAAGGATGTGAAGAAAGGGGAACCCTTTTGCACTGTTGGTGGGGATGCGGATTGGTGCAACCATGTAGAAAGCAGTGTGGAGACACCTAAAAAATTAAAAATTGGTCTACCTTTTGGCCCAGCGATCCCATTTCTAGGAGTATGTCTGAAGAAACCTAAAACACTAATTCAAACAAAAATAAGCACCCCTATGTTTATTGCAGCATTATTTATAATAGTCAAGATATGGAAGCAACCCAAGTGTCCATCAGTAGATGAGGAGACAAAACATCTATGGGACATTTATACAATGGGATACTACTCAATCATGAAATAGAAGAAAATTGTACCCTTTGTGACAGAATGGATAGATCCGGAGAATATTATGCTAAGTGAAATAAGCTAGTCAGAGAAAGACAAGTAAGATACAATTTTACTCATATGTGGAATCTAATGAACAATCTGAACTAAGAAGCAAAATAGAGACAAACTCAGAGTAGGATGACAACTCTGGGGGTGGGGGTCGAGGTGAGGAGGTAGAGGGATCAAGCAAAAAGGAAAAAGTGCTCAAGGACATGGACAACAGAGTGGTGACTGCAGGGGAAGAGGAGTATAAAGAAGCTAAATGGTAATGGAAAAAATAAAAAAATAATAATAATAATAAAAAGAAATTATTAAAAGGATATAATCAAGCATGATTCCTTCTTTCTCTGCACAAACTGTAATTCCATGTTACCAAGTAACCATGGCTGATATGGGGAAGCTCTTCTTTGCAGAAGAATTCAACTTATAAATGTAAAAACAGTGACAGAAGTTTAAAATCACTATTCAAATTACTGATTCAGGCAAACTCATCAATGATTTCTCAACGCTGGAGTGACAGTCACAGGCTGTCAAAGTCTTGCACCACAGGGAAAAAAACACAAAGGAAAAATGTACCTTACAAAGAAGGGTGCACTGGCTAAACTTATTAAAAGTGGAACAACCAGACATTCTGTGCTTCCTGACATGATGCAGAACAAAGTGCCTAGGGCCACCTATGAATGCCCTTGCCTAAAATGTTTTAACTACATTTACTACATATATTTCAAGTGTAACTTTAAGTTTATAGGAAACAGGAAATGGAGAAACAAATAATGCAATGCCACAGAGAAGTGAGCAAATCAGTCCAGAAGGAAGGACAGTCCAAAATAACTGACCAGAATCTTCAACAGGACTACGGCATGGGCGAAACTACACTCAGGGGAGCAGAATAACTTTTCTGCATTAAAGAGAGAAAGGAGATACAAAAAAGTTTTTTTTTCTTAAGGTGAGTCCTGTTTAGATACTGATTTGAATATATCCCCACAAAAAGATACTTTTGAGACAATAGAGAAATTTGAATATAAACTGGGTATGAAATAATATTGAGGGATTTACTAATTTCATTTGGTGTGATAATGGTGCAGCAGTTATGTGAGAAAATGCCCTTTTTTTAGTGATGAACATTGAAGTATTTGAAATAAAATACAACATCTGCAATTTGCTTTAAAATACTTCACCCAAAAAGTTACATTAATAAGTAAAACAAATACAGAAAAATGTTCATAATAGCTAAATCTAAGTTATGGAACATGCCAGTCCTGGCCTTGCTGGTCTTCAGATATATACTTGTCCTGGGAATCACAGGGGCTGGCACCTGCAAGCTACTGTTCCCAGGCTCTTTTGCCCTCTGGTTAATTTCAGCCAATGGGAGGCACTGTAATGATATCTTTCCTAGCCAACCTGTCCCATCCTCCTCTGAGCCTCAAGCAGTGTCCATGGTGACAGTTCCATCCTTTCCATATCCATAACCACTGCTCAGGCCTGTGATTCCAGAATCTGCCTGGGCTCTGAACATGTGGGAAGAAGGGCCTGTATTTGGGGGGCAAGGGTTGCATTGTAATCATGGTATAATAGAGAAGAGATATGGTCTTTGTCTATGGTCCTGGCACAGAGCTCCTAAAATTTTTTTAATCCTCTGGAGTACCATATCTAAATTTATGTTAAAGAGATGACTTGGGATGGGCCCTTTGACAATTTCAAGGAAGGGGCTCACCATGGCACAGAGACCAAATACCTGATTAGAGAGTTGGAACATTCAGCCCCATTCCCATACTTACAGGGAGTACAGAGGGGCTGGAGACTGAGCCCAATCACATGGCCAGAGGCAAAATAAGACCCCCAGACAACTCTGGATATCCAAAGCTCAGTCAACTCCCTGACTGGTGAACACATCAATATGTGAAGTGGGTGATGTGCACAGGGTGAGGGTATAGAAGTTCTGCATCTAAGACCCTCAAAATTTGCTCTCTGCATCAATTTGTATGTTCCTGAGTTATGCCCTTTTTATAATAAATCTGTAGGCATAAGTATAACACTTTAAGAAAGTTCTAGAAGACATTCTGGTGAATTATTGAACCTGAGGGGGACCAAGGAAACCCCTAAATTTATAGCCAGTATGTCAGAAGTGTGGGTAGCCCCAAAACATGTAGCTGCCATCTGAAATGGGGACAGTCTTGTAGAAGACTTTTACCCTTAATCTGAGAGGTCTGATTTACCCAGGGTAGTTGGTGTCAGAATTTAATCAAATTACAGTACATCAACTTGGAGTGGAAATAGAACAATAAGTGACACTTATTTCTGGAGTAGGTGGCTTCAGAGGTAAATTTTACTAAACATTAAAATAAGTATTAACACTTACCCTTCTCAAACTATTTCAAAAAATTCAAGAGGAAAAATGACTCCAAAGTTCATTCATGAGGCCAGCATTATCCTAATTCCAAAATCAGGTAAAGACACTACAAAGAAAGAAAATTATAGACCAATATCCCTGATAAGCTTAGGTGTAAAACTCTTTAACAAAATATTAGCAAACCAAATTCAGCAATACATTAAAAAGATCATAGATCATGATCAATTGGGATTTATTCCTGGGATGCAAGATTGGTTCAATATCCACAAGTCAAGTAGCATGACATATCACAGAAACAAAACAAAGAATAAAATTTATATGATCATATCAAAAGACACACAAAAAAGTATTTGATAAAGTAATCAAGGAGATAAATGACCTGTATTGAAAAATTATAAGACACTGAAGAAACAAATTGAAGAAGATACAAATAAATGGAAGTACATACTGTGTTCATGTACAGGAAGAATTAACATTAAAATGTGCATACTACCCAAAGCAATCTATAGATTCAATACAATTCTTATCAAAATGGCAATGACATTTTTCACTTAAGTAGAACAAATAATCCAAAAAAATGCTTTTCCATTGAGGCACTTTATTTACACATGTGTATTAAATCCCTAGAAAAAGAATCCCAAGATTTTCCTTCCTGTGTGTTTTCATCTTTCTCCTTCATGGTCCATGATACCTGCTGAGGTTGTTAGAACAATGAAACCAAACTGATGGGACAGAAGCAGATTGTTCTGCCATTTTTCTAGATCTTTGAGTTGCACATCAAATCTGGGGCTGATTACTCCACACTTGTTCAACCTTCCTGTGAGGTTCACAACAGTTTTCCCAGTTCTGCAGTCATCAATAATTTCAAATTTGCCAATGTAACCATGTTTCATCACCACAGTTAGAAACTGGATGATGACTTTGGACGACGGTCTGATAAGAACCTGGCATTTGCCTCTCTTTTCAGTATTGTTAATTCTCTTGAGAGCATCAGCCAGGACATTCATGTGCACCATTATGGTGGCCCTGAAAGATGGCAGAAAGAACAAATAATCAAAATATTTATATAGAACCACAAAAGACCTCAGATAGCCACAGCGAGCTTGGAGAAAAAAGAACAAAATCAGACATATCACACTACCTCATATAAAACTATACTACAAGGCTATAGTAATTTTTTTAAAAGCATGGTACTGGCATATAAGCAGACACATAGATCAATGGAACAGAATAGAGAGCCCAGGAATAAACCCACACCTATATGGTCAATTAATATATGACAAAGGAGACAAGGACATAAAATAGGGTAAAGACAGTCTCTTTAATAAATGATTAAAATTTAATGAGAAACTGGACATATATATGTAAAAAAAGGGAACTAGACCAAATTCCTGTGCCCATATACAAGAATAAACTCAAAATGGATTAAAAGCTTAAAAGTAAGACTCAAAACCATAAAACCCCTAGAAAAAACATAGGCAGTAAATGCTGTGACATTTCTCTTAGAAATATTTTTGGTGATATGTCTCCTTGGACAAGGAAAGCAAAAGAAAAAATAAACAAATGGGACTATATCAGACTAAAGGGTTTTTGCACAGCAAAGGAAACCACTAACAAAATGAAAGGAAAATATACTGATTGGGGGAATATATTTGCCAAAGATAGATCTGATAAGAGGTTAATATCCAAAATTTATAAATAACTCATACAACTCAACACCCAAAACAAACAATCCAATTAAAAAATGGGCAGAAACCTGAACAGACATTTCTCCAAAGAGGAAATTCAGAAGGCCAATAGATATATGAAAAGCTGCTCAGCATCACTAATCATCAGAGTAATGTAAATTAAAATTACAATGAGACATTACTCACACCTGTCTGAATGGTTATCATAAATAAACAAACAACAAGTGTTAGGAAGGATGTGGAAAAAAGGGAATCCTCATGAACTACTGGTGGGAATGCAGACTGGTATAGCCACTGTGGAAAGCAGTGTGGAGTTACCTAAAAAAAAATTTTAAATGGAACTGCTTTATGAACCAGTGATTACACTTCTAGGTATGTATCTGAAGAAACACAAAATACTGATTCAAAAAAGTACATGCACCCTATGTTCATTGCAGTGTTATTTATAATAGCCAAGATATGGAAGCAACCCAAGTGTGCGCGAATAAAGAAGTGGATAAAAACATTGTGAATATATATATATAATATATATAAATTTATATATATAAAAATTACTTGGCCATAAAAAGGTTAAAATATTACTTTTGTGGCAGCATGGATAGCCTTAGAGGGTATTACACTAAGTGAAATAAATCAGATAGAGAAAGACAAATACCATATGATTTCACTTATATGTGGAGACTAAAGAACAAAAATGAACAAACAAAACAGAAAGATTCATATACAGAGAAGAGAATGATGGTTGCCAGAGCAAAGGGAGGTTGGGGGGCTAGTTGATAAAGGTAAAGACATTAAAAACTATAAATTGGTAGTTACAGAATAGTCACTGGGGTATAAAGTACAGCATAGGGAATATAGTCAATAATATTGTAATAACTATATATGGTGCCAGGTGGGTACTTGAAATATTGGTGGGACTGCTTTGTAAAATATATAATTGTCTAACCACTATGCTGTACATCTGAAACAAATACAAAATAATATTGAATGTAAACTGTAATTGAAATATAAAATTTTAAAAAATAACACTTGTTGGAATGTCAACCCAGACCACACCTGCTTTCCTAAAAACTGCCTATCACTCAAACTCCTTTGAGGATAGATGCAATTTGAAAGGTTACCAAGACCACCCAAAGGTTTGATATTTCTATAGAAGGACTCACAGAATTCAACAAAGCTATTGGACTCATGGCTATGATTTATTATAGTGAAGGGATACAGACTATAATGGGCAATAGGAAAAAGTTCCCAGGGCAGAGTCCAGGAGAGACCAAGCACAAAGCTTGCAGTTATCCTCTCCTAGTAGTCATATATATAACACTTACTTCTCCCAACTTGTGGTAACACACTCAAAGACTTGCCAGCCAGGGCAGTACCCGAGCATTAGTGTCCAGGTTTTTGCTGGGGATCAGTTGCATAAACATGAAAGACTGTTCACATGGCTGACCTTGGTCTCCAGCCCCTCTAGAGACTGACCAGATACAACACGGCCCAAAGCCTCCACCATAAAGCACATTGATAGCATAGGCTGTCTGGCATGGCCCAAGGCTCCTGACACTCTTATCAGACAGAACATTCCAAGAGCTTAGAGGTTATCGCCCAGAAGCCAGAATCAAGTGCCAAATCTTTCCACGGGCAAGGTTAAACTTTTGCTGCACAGTAAACCTACTTTGCTGTCCCCAATGTGGACATCAATCCTGTCCACAATGATTAGATCGGGTATGGGCTATGCCAAGCTAGGAAATCCGACTCTCTCCTAGGGTGTTGGAATCAGGATACAGGGACTCCAGTTCAGATTTCCTCAATGCATGACCCTGAACTATTGGGGGTGTTTATTAAAATGAGGCTCTTCCAAAAAAAAAAAGAAAGAAAGAAAAAGTAGCAAATATTGACAGGAATGTAGAGAAATGGGCCCCCTGATGCCCTGTTGGTGAAAACACAAAATGGTGCAGCTGCTGTGGAAAACAGTGTAGACGTTCCTAAAAAATTAAATTAGAATTATGATATGATCCAGCAATTTCACTTCTGATTTAATCTTGGTCTCTGATTCTAGGCATCCTAAAACCCAGCAGCATCCCTGTCCTTCCTGCAGTTTACTGATCAATAAATCCAGGAGCAGGTTATTTGAAAGGATAAACAAAAATGACAAGTTTAACCAGACTCATCAAGAAAAAAAGAGAAAGGACCCAAATAAATAAAATTGGAAATGAAAGAGGAGAAATTACAACTGATACCACAGAAGTTCAAAGGATTGTAAGAAATTACTGTGAACAACTATATGCCGAGAAATTTGAAAACCTCAATGAAATGGACAAATTTCTAGAAAAATATATCCTTCCAACACTGAATGAAGAAGCATAAAGCCTGAATCGACCAATAACAGCAGGTGAAATTGAAGCAGTAATCAAAAAACTCCTGGCACACAAAAGCCCTGGACCGGATGGTTTCACAGGGGAATTTTACAAAATATTTAAGGAAGAGCTAACCCCTGTCCTTTTCAGGCTATTCCAAACAATCCGAGAAGAGGAAAGACTCCCAAACTCTTTTTATGAGGACAGCATCATCCTAATCCCAAAACCAGATAAAGACACAACCAAGAAAGAAAACTACAGGCCAATATCGCTGATGAACATAGACACTAAAATCTTCAACAAAATATGGGCAAACCACATCCAGCAAATCATTAAAAAGATCACCCACCATGATCAAGTGGAATTAATTCCAGGGATGCAATGATAGTGCAATATACTCTAATCAATAAATGTATGATCTCACCTATAAGCGGAACCTAACCAACAATGCAAAGATGCAAGGAAAATATGACCAGCAACACTAAAAGGAAAAGAAATCAATAGAGACAAGAGGGAAGCGGGGGGGCGGGGAAAGGGAAGGGAAGGGGAAAGTCAAGGAACATATAGCATGGACTCGTGGACAAAACCAAAGGGGAAGAGCTGAGGGAGGGAAGGAGGGAGGGGGCAAGGGAAAGAGGTGGGGGGGAGGCAGAGACAAATGTATTTAAAAAGTAAATAAATTTTAAAAAATGAATAAATAAAAAAAGAAAAAGAAATAAATGTAATACATCACATAAACAAAATGAAAGACAAAAATTACATGATCATATCAATGGATGCTGAAAAAACATTTGATGAAGTACAGCACCCATTTATGATTAAAAAAAATTCAGAAAAGTGGGAGTAGAGGTAGCATACCTCAACATAATAAAGGCCATATATGAGAAACCTACAGCCAACATCATACTTAACAGGAAAAAATAAAAATCTTTCCCCCTAAGATCAGGAACAAGACAGGGGCATCCATTTTCACCACTTTTGTTCAACATAGTATTGAAAATTCTTGCCACAGTAATCAGACAAGATAAAGAAATAAAAGGCACCCAAATTGGAAAGGAGGAAGCAAAACTGTCACTCTTTGTACATGACATGATAGTGTACATAGAAAACCCCATATAGTCCTAGTCGACCTAGTAAGTGAATGTGGCAAACCAGCAGGATACAAAGTCAATCTCAGAAATAGTAGGCATTTTTGTACACCAATAACAAAATATCAGAAACAGATATTAGGATAAAATCCTATTTACTATAACAACAATAAAAATAAAGTACCTAGGAATAAACTTAACCAAGAAGGTAAAAGACTTGTATGTAGGTAGAAATGATTTGTGTCCTCACACAACCAAAAGAAGGATACAACTAATTTAAAAACAAAAACAACCTGAACTGCCAGTAAATCAAACTACATGGAAGTCCGACAGCCAAGGAGTTAAAGAAGAAACATTCATCCAGATGGTAGGAGGGGCAGAAACTGGCAGCCTGGTCAGAAAGGATGCGAGGAAAGGTGAAGGAAGGGGGACAGATGGGGGTGGCAGGTGGTAGCTGGCAGACAGGACTTCCCACATTCATGTACAGATAAACTGGGAGGAACAATTGGGGTACAAGACAAGCCAAGAAACCCAGAGTTACAGCACAGGGAAATAATGCCTCAAAACCTCTGGCTGTAAAATCTGTGGGGGTTGCAGAAGCAGGGGAAACTCCCAGTCTCACAAGAGAGTGTTTTGGAGGGATTCACATGGTCCTGGGATGTACATGAGCCTACCCACCTGGGAATCAGCACCTGAAAGGGCACAATCTTCTTGTGGGAAGTAAGAGGAATGATGGAAAGTGGGGCGAGAGCCAAGCAACTGAGCAAGTGGCATTGTTCTCTCTCTGACCCCTCCCCCATATACAGTGCCACAATGCAGCAAACGGGGTGGCCCCACCCTGACGAATACCTAAGGCTCCACCCCTTCCAACATAACAGACGTGCTGAGA